GATATTGATCACTTCTAATATCTCCGTCAAGGGCCACTTGCTCATCTACAAGTTGGTATTCAGTTGGTTCCTCGGCAGCAGCCTCCTGTTGAGGGTAAACAGGATCCTCAAGGGACTCACATAGAGTTCTAGGTTCTGACACTTGGATGTTTAGTTCATCAGTTCTAAAGAAAAAGAAAAAAAAAGAAAAAAAAAAACCATGAAAAGATTAATTTGTTCGGAGTTTAAATCAATTGCATTATCACTATAGCTAATCGGTTCAATATAATTAATACTAATTAAACTTCATCGAGTATTGATATAATTCTAGGATCCTAGGCATTGGATTCAATGCGAATTGACATACATTACACACAAACTGATAGAATTACATTCTGAGATCCCCTCTGGTGTACAACTGGCACACAGTTGATCACGTAAACAATGCATTACACAAACTGATACAAATTCATTCTGAGATCTCTCTAGTGTAGAACTGGCACATAGTTGACCATATAAACAATTGCAAGTTACCAATCCAATCAAAAAATTGAAGTAAAATATAAGGAGAATTATAGTGAATATGAACAATGGCACCTAGTTTGCAAACAATCCAACTAAATCAAACACTAGATAAACAATTTAACCAAATGAAACACAAAGCAGATAAACAAAGAGAGGACTAAAAATATTATTGCCTGAGTGCATTCTGCTGTAGTTCATGAACTGGAGTAGGCCAGCACGGAAGCACAAAGGGAAAGACCAATGAATCCCACAGATAATCACCGCCAACAGAACATACCTTTTTCAAAGTTCTGTTCCTCATGTTGCAGAGTACAATATGATCACGAAACTGTAGATATATTATATTTCCATCAATGGGATGAAGAGATAGTATTGTTGAACTGTAGCCTAACCAACGAGCCATCCAGCGATCGACCAATTCCATGCTCTTCAGAGAAACCTTGTGCACCAAGGACCATTCAAGCCCATTGTAGTCCTTAAGTTCCCAAATACTGAGATTGTGAGCAATACATTCAATAAACCTGAGGTGACCTTGGTACTCTCCACACCTATGTTCAGAGGCAAAGGGGTCTATGTCCTTGGGCTGTCTTATGGTACGAAATTGATCAGTGTTATTGATCATAGGCAAAAATCTTGTCACGATGATAAAGGAACATCCAATGGAGTATTCCATTGCAAACCACAGCTTTAGGACCGCAGTAGGACACAGTAAAGTAATGCGCTTGGGTTGATAAGATTGTTTCGGTCCATTTCCATGTATCTGAAGAGAATATCTCCAATTTAAGATTGGTTGATCTTCGACATTTGGAATTTGCTGGTTCAAATTCGATGATTCGGACCACTCTGAAGCTACTGGCTAAGCTAAGTAACATCAAAAGAAAAAGATGATTTACAAACAAATCCAATGCTAACCTTTTTTTGGCAAGTGGCTGGAGGAGGAAGCTCAACCCAATGCATTGTGAGGGGGTTGCAAACATAGTAAACCTTATGAAAAGTCGAGGTTGCAGAGCATAATACTAAGCCATTGCTCGATGCTAAGCAACAAATTGGCTGTGGTTGATGTTGATCCGATGATGATGATGATGGATTTGAAGAAGGAAGGAAGTTTAGAGAGAACCCGCGAGATTCAAAAATGGGTGATTCGGATGTTAATTGGATTGCACGATCCTTGTACTGGTAGAAAAGGGCAAAAGGAGGCGCCAAAGTTGAACAATTGTGGGCATAGTGCGGAAGGAGGACCGGAGATGAGATTATACCAACGCTTTGAAACGCACTTGCAGAGGTGGGTGAGTTTGAGAGGGAGTCTTCGGAGAATTTCTACAAACAGTTCGCGGGATAACTTATCAATGTGGGATTTTGTGGAAATGGAGGAGGAGGGTGATGAAGATTCGAACAATTTGCGCCTTCTGAAAGGTGGAGAGCCTAGAAGCACCCACACCTCCCCCGTAACTGGCATAGTATTTGACGGTGAGGTACCGTCGTCATCACACTCCATACTCTCTCTCTATTATACTGTGACCGTGTGTGTGCACGAGTGCACGTTTTTTACTGTACGCATATATATATATACTTGTATATGATTTATATGCAATCTTAAAAGGTTGTCTCTAAATAGGAACACAACCATCCTCTAGAAATATTAAGGGTGGGTAGCCTCCCGCCAAAATTTTTAAAATTTTCAGCAAATGAGTCAAGATAGTTTAGGTATTTATTACTCCCTCTGTCCCTTATTAATTATCCATCTTTGATTTTATAACTTTTTAAGAAAACGTGCAATTAATGCATTGTCTCCTTTTCAAAAAACCAAATTGTCCTTTTTAATTTAAATATATATAGTTACAAAGTTTGAAATTTTTTAAAAAAATAAAGGACAATGATAAAAATATAAAGAAAAGATACTTATTTGGGACATGTAAAAAAGAAAAAATGGACTACTATTAAGGGACACAGAGGAAGTACTAAAAGTTTTTGTGTTTGATATATTTGGTTCCGCAAACTTACATGAGAGTCTCATGATGAGACATTATTAGTAATAGACCCTTCCAAAACCCACATGCTTTGGCCCATTAAAAAACCCATTAGATATTCGTAAAGGCCCAATATATGGTAGTAACTAGTAATGCACAGAAACACGGTGGCTTTTTATTTATTTTTCCAACTTGCAAGTCATACTTAAATTGGATATATAAGATTTATGATATTGGGTTAAATCATTTGTCCAATTTGTACATGCTATGTAAAATAAAAATTGATTAATTGAATCAAAGAATTGAATTTGAAGTTTGAGGAAATTTAGTTTAAATTATAAATTTAATTTAATTTCAATTCCAATTTCAAATCGTCAATTTAGTACTTCCAAACATAACATAAATGTATTTTTGAATGCATAAAATGATTTTGCTTTATAATTAATTTTGTCTTAGATCTTCTAACACAATAAAAAATATATGGTAGAATTTCTATTGTGAAGATAAAAAATATTATATATTTAAATTTTATATTCATAATTTTATGATATTTCTATTAGTTTGGGCCCCTCCCAAATTTAACTGAGTGGTTTTTAGTTCCATATGTTTGTTGATCCGAATAGTTTTATTTTGTCCTCTTTTGGGCATCCAAATTTAAGTGAGTGGATAACAATGAGTAAAAAGTGAATACCCATACAATTCAACAGTCAATGATTGATTAAGAGTGGATACATGTCTTAAACTGCCCAAACAAAACACTATTTCCATAATTTTTAGGAAGCACAACTCATGAGTGCTCTCACATTGATTTCAACTATGCTCTCATTTTTTTTTTTTTTTTTACTAAATACTTGCTACGAAGCTTTCCTGGTGACTTTTCGGAGTGGTTTTAATATAAGTGAAGGACGATTCATGTAAATATTCTTAAACAAAGTGAAAGACAGCCAACCAGGCACACCCTAATATTGGTTACATAATCTTCCTCCATAAATGAAAAAGAAACTTCCAAAACTAAGGTACAAATTAGACAGCAACACAGAGTACAACTCCCCAAATTCACAACTCCATAATTCCTCCCTTCAAACACCGCTAAAGCATCCACAGTCGCCTTTCCTGGGCACCCATAGTTAATAGACAAGACGATTAATCAAACTAATATACCTAAATAGGGAGGAAGAACAATTCAAAACTTCCATTAGAGCACTGCAAAATTTTAATGTCTACAGCAATTAAAAAGATACAAGAGCTATTCTATAGAATTCTTATCTAATAAAACACAAAGATAAATCAGTCCGCCCAGAAAAATCGCAAAAGGTTAGTAGCCAAGAGCAGTATCTAGAACAATTTTGAGGAAACAAATGCAAGAAATAAATTTCAAGTCTCAAACTCTATTGAAAACACACACATATAGGTAATGTAATTTTAGAGGTCAGTAATTATGGAAAGAGAACAGGATGAAAACAACAGCCACAGGAACAGCAAGGACAGAAAAAATCAGTCTGCAGTGATGCTGAAGAAAATACCTTTAGACGAACCGCTATACGTCTTCAACTGATTGGAATTGTTGAATCTATAGGAACTGTTACCCGGGTTGCCCATTCGTTAAAAAGACTTCAATACCTGATTGTCACAAATTTTATCAGCTCCTGTATGTGTATGTATTACAGCAATTTCATTTATCAGACAATAAGGCAGAGCCGCAAATGCAAAGGAACATATGAATAGTGAACTGTGACATAGCCAATGCTCCCATAAGAATTTCCAACTACAACAGACTCCAAGCTGCAAAAATATATAGTTGATTAACAAGAAGCGCAATTCATTTCTTGTGATTCATACTTTTTCTCGTCCAAAAGTTCATTTGACTACAAACACACTCAATGCAGAGGCGGACACAGGAATGTTGATTTCGGGGTGGGGGTGAAGATAATAGTATGATTTTTTATATTTTAGACAGCAGTATATATTTCTTAAAGTAAAGTGCTAGTACTAAGATTATTTAAAGAAAAAAAAAAAGTATAAAATCAACATGTGGGAAGATATAAATTAAGATTATTTATAGAAAAAAAGTATTTCATTACGTGACCTTACAGAACAACAAAAAAACTTCCCTGTTCCCTAAACATTATATGATTCAACACTGACCAATCAAGGAGATGTTTAATTGTTTGGTTAATCAAGTGATCATTAGACCACTACAGATTTTTAATCTATGTAGCAACATTGAACTGTTGTCCACATTTAGGGAACAAAAAAAAATAAAAAACACATTGAACTGTCCGGGTGAAATACATGATTTATTTTCTCTAATTCCTTTTGGCTACAGAATCAATAAAATTAAGCATTTTGTAAAAATAAAATTAAATTTAATTGATGCACAAGAAATGAGGAGGAAATTTGATGCATGTGGTGATGAGCATATTGGATGTATGAAATATAAGAGGCATCAGACTTTAGAAAATGAAAAAAACAAATTAGGACTTGATCTGCTTACCTCACTAAAAGAAAAACATATGTAGGGGATTTGCCCTAAAAATGTCGGGTGTCCAGGGCATCTAAATTGACGTAGGGGATGTTGGGCCAGTAGTCACCTTGGCATCGTTCTCTAAGATGTGGACAACGAACCAACTCAAGACTTAGAAGTGTGGAAGGCAGGCCTTCCTTTGGCAAGGATCGAAGCTTAGGGCAGTGAGAGATGGCTAGATGTTGAAGAGTGGTGAGATTTTGGAGGGCCTTCAATGGTATGGATTCCAGATTCGGCAGCTTCTCGATCCATAATGAGGTTAGAGTTGAAGGAAGCAGATCAGGAGGAGGAAAGGAGACCAGCTCTGGATATCCACCACCAATTTCGAATTGTCGAAGAGAGGTGAGTCTTTGCAGATCCCACTCCGACAAGGGCTTCTCTAATTTCCCATTATCACCAATAGTAAGTTTGATTAGGTTGGGGGGCAAATTCCAATTCCCTTGATGAAAGGACGTCATAATACATGGACAATCATATATTGTGAGCTCACTTAGGGTTTGACTATTCTGATCAAAAAATGGCAACCGCCTCAGATTTGAACAATATATGATTGTAAGCCATCTGAGGTTGTTGGGGGTAGAGCCTCCTCTTTCCGGGAAGTACATGGACTCCAGACTTTCACAAATGCAGATTTGAAGGGATTCGAGGCTTTGAAGAATCTGGTTGGTCATAGCCAAGGATTGGAGATTCACGCAACTCCGGATACGAAGTAATCTGAGGTTGGGTAAGCCTCTTTCTGGGAAGGACAACGACTCCAAGACATCGCAATCGTGTATGCTCAATTGACGGAGACTAGCGAAATTATTATTATTTACGCACCCCTCAACCCCAGGTAGTAGTAACATTCCAACCTTTGGCCACTTCGAGATGATTAAGCATATAAGTGATGACATATTAATAACATTGATGTTGTTAAAGTCATCTTCCTTCTCCTTCTGCTGTAGCATCATCGTCGGCTCTGAAACCTTCCGAAAATACTCCAAATTCATGCAATCTCTAATTGTAAGAACCTTAAGGGCTGTGGGTAACCCAACGGTGGGCCAGGACGTCAATGATGAACATCTATTAATTTCCAAGTGTTCAAGTCCGCACATGCCATCGGGCAGAGACGTCAATGATGAACATTCTTCAATTTCCAAGCTTTCAAGTCCGCACATGCCATCTGGCAGAGAGGTCAATGCCTCGCATTTCCGTATTGTAAGAGATTTGAGCGTGGGCGAGAAACCTGTCTTTGCAAAGAACACAAGTTGGTTGCATCCTATGATGACAAGACTTTGAAGCCCTACCAACGACTGCACATCAACAATACTTTTTAGCACCGCCTCATGACACTCTTCCAAATATAATGTTTCAAGAGAGGGAAGCCTCAAAAGTGGAACCCTAATCAATTTAGGACAATCAATTATTCTGAACACGCGGAGGCAAGGGAATTGACTTGTAGCTTCTTCAACACCAATAGAACATGACCATTCGTCCCACGCCGGCATGTCTTCAAATATCAAACTTTCCAATGACGGAAAGGGATGTCCCAGACAAAAATCATCCTTGTAAAACTCAACTCCCAATTTTTGTACTCCATGCATGCCTCGGATGTGTAGCTTTTTGAGCTTGGGTAGTTGCCCCAGTGCCGGTAAGGATCTGCATTTTCTGCAGCCTCCAAGAGTCAGCTTCACTATTTCAGAGAATGATGGATCACCTATCCAACTTGGAAATTTTGTGCCCCCGTAGAACTCAATAGTGAGCCTTTTCAAGTGTTTGTGTGGTTTTAGCTTCGCAAGCACATCCAATTCAAGCTTTTCTTTTCGAAGATCGTTGAACTCGCTACTCCATGCCAACTCTAATTCTTCAATGTCTTGCCCAGCCCATGAATTCGCCTCATTTTCATCTCGAGCATCTGTTACATTTTGCAACTCTTGAATAGAAATACTTCCCCGTAAAAGCCTCACATTCATCAACTCTTTTAGTCCTGGCATATTCTGTTTGCCCACAATGAACTTTGACAGTGTTTGCAAATTCGTCAGTCTACCAATCTCTGGGGACATCTCTCGCAATTGCACAGTATCTGCGATATCAAGATGGCGCAGATTAATTAAATTTCCAATGTTTGTGGGCAACATTGAAAGTTCTTTGCAACCACGCAGCAACAGTGTTTCTAAATTGTAGAGATTACTCACCGATTCAGGCAACTGTTTGATTGAAGTGTGAGATAAATTAAGATACCTCAGATGTTTCTGTTAGGATATGTGTGCCCTAGCATAGCAAATTCTAATTTTGGATTGTAGAAGTCATGGTTTCTTGTCTGGATATTATTATTAAAGCATTATACAATTGGTGAATGGAATGTATTATTTTTCGATTCTTTATGGAATTGATGGTGTCCGCTTGATTACAAAATATATTTATATATGTATGTAATGGCAATTAATACTATGATATAAATTAGTAATCATAAATGGTTTAAAGTCGGTAATTATGGATGGACATTTAATTAGTTAAGACTTAAACCGAGTCCACGATAGATTGAGATATATTGCGAGAGCTGTCGTATGCAATTGCTCTCTATCACAGTCATGGCTTTTGACTCTCAAGCATGAGAGAAGTATAGACTCTTTTATTAATTAATAATTACTTTGATTTGCTCGGCGGATACCTCGGGATCCTTAGATCGACATTTTGGGTAGTTATGTAATTAATAATTAGAGGTCTATATTCTCAATATTTGCATCAGTGCTATTTGTATTTATTTTGTTTTGATTATGGTTGATCACAAATTAAATTCGAAGGCCTTCGTATGTTTTAGACAAATGTTTTATATATATATTTATTTAATAAATTATTATTATTTTTTGTCAAATAAATATTTTATTGTGATCGAGCCGGAAATAATCAAAGGTAACAAAATAATTATATTAATTATGTTGTCGGATTGATGGCTTTAATTATCCGATAAATAATTAAGCATAGAGGGGTCAAAGTGCAACATTGACTTAGAGGTTATTTACTATTTAATTGGAGTGCAATTAATTTCTTTTAGTGGAGTAGAAATTAATTTATGAATTAATTGAATTGGGTCCATGGTTTAATGGACCGGACCAATTATTAATTTATAAGAGCCAAGAAAATAGTAAGCCCAAAAGGATTCTCACCAATAGCCCAAGTTGATATTGGAGTCATGTTAGGATTGAGAAAGTTGAATTAGAGATGGAGAATGATTTATTGTTTCCTTATTCTTATTTTATTTTGCCTATATATACATGAGTTCATGTATATTTTAGGTGTGACTTGGAGAACAAGAAAAAGGAATACACTTTCTCTCTCTCTAGATTTTAGGGTTTTGTTTCTCTTCTAAAGGAGGCTACCACCAGCCTAGATTCCAAGGTCATTCATCAAGGCATATTGGTGATTCCTAAAGGGAAGATAATAATCAAAAAGAAGGAGAAAGGATCTTGCTAAAGGGATCTACAATAAGTGAGAACATTCACTTTAGAGGAAAGTTCAAAAGGTTTACTCAGACCTTTGATGTGAGTATTCAATCTGTTTATTGAATTATGCATCATCTTTTATTTATCTTTGCATAAAACTTGTCTCCATGTAATGAATCAAGATCTATGATTGCAAATCCCTCAAAAAGTTTTAAAAATTTGCACGTTTCCCAACAGTGGTATCAGAGCACATGGTTTGATTCATTACTAGAGAGCATGTGTTTATAAAAATCATATTCATGGATCCAAATTATATATACATATATAAAATTATTGATATATGTTGATGTATGATTTATTATGTTGATATATATTAATACATGTTGATGTATGTATAATTGTGAATGGATGATGATGTGTGTTTGGGCCATGGATGAAGCTTATAGGTATATGGAATGTAATTTTATTTTTGGATGAATGTAATTAAGGCTTTGTTTTAGCCGTTTGAAAATTCAATGATGTAATTTAATTTTTTCCATTGTATTTCAAATTGTAAGTATTAATTAAAGCCATGTAATATTCATCAAAGGATGCTATGAAGCTTCAAGAGGGTCCGAAAGGGTTAAATTATGCTTCAGTAATTTTCTGGAATTTTTTCCGAATTTTTCGGGAATTTTTTGAGGCTTAATTTAATTTTCTGGGATTTTTTCGGATTTTTTGGAATTTTTTCGGCGTTTTTCCGGTGGCCGGAGCTTCGCCGGCGGCAAGAAGAGGCGTCGGAGGTGGCCCAGATCACGTGTGGCAGTGGCTTGGTGAGCCTGGCGCGTGTTCCACACGCGCCAGGAGTGGGCTGGTCAATGACAAGCTGGCGCGTGGATCTCACGCGCCAGCCAAGGAATTGGTACACTCCACGCGCGGGAAGGCGCGTGGAGGCGCGTCCCACGCGCCCCAGGCGCGTGGGAGCGCGTGAGGGTGCATTCCACGCGTGCCAGCGCGTGGGGGCGCGTGGGAGCGCGTGCAGCTTGCCCTAGGCGCGTGCCAGCGCGTGTGGGGTCCTCCGGGCTCGTTCCAAGCGGCGTTTTGCTTCTCCTGACGCGTACAAGCTTCCTATGGGTGTTTACAGACAGTTGAAGGATGCCCGTACAACAAGAATAATTTTTAAATGTTAAAAGCTGAATCCATTGGCCATTTATATTGCTTCTGTCTATTGTTTGATGCATGGAATAATTTAATAATTGTTATAATTGTTCATGCATTGGATCCATGATTTTTAATTAAATGGCTTGATTTATATTAATTAAATTATGAAGATAAATTGGATTAGATTGCTAATTAATTTGAGGGCATTTATTGGGAAACAGAAAAATTATTTTTAAAAATTATTTTTTGCCTCAAATTAAAGATTAGTGAATCATTTAAAATCCATATATATTTTCTAAATTTAATTGGATTAAAATCAAGGCGTTTTGCATGCATTAAATTATGAATTAAAAACCCTAGTTTTATATTATTAAAAATTGAGTGGGAGCGGGGATTTTTATACATTACCCCATGGCCTTCGTAATTATAACCATTATGATTAGATCTTTAAAAATAAGGCTCCACGCATGATTTAAAGAGTCTAAATTACAAGAATGGTTGTCTCACGAAAATATATTTATTAAATAACCATTATAGTTAGATCTTTAAAAATAAGGCCCTACGCATGATTTAAAGAGTCTAAGCTATTAATGGCAATATATTTAATATTTGTGTTTCCGTTGGAGCATTAATTATGTTATACACTCAATCTAAAATCAATATTATTAGCTCCCCAACGGAGTGGTCTATACTAGGTGATTTTAGAAAGGCTAAATCTAATCGGGAATTATTTCATATTTAGATAAGGCATTATCTAAAGAGATATGGAAATAATGAGTTATTCTCGTCAATAAGCAATAATGAATTCCGCCAACCGGATAAGTTATTGGCATATTGATTGTCCGATTTTTCATGCAATGTGGTTGAGGGACCCACAATTAATTAATTGTTTTATACTTGCATGATTATTATTATTCACTTTATTTATTGTATGAATGCTTTTATTTTCAGATTTATCATGACTAGTCAATTCAGTCCACTTGCGAACATACTAAAAGAAAATCGATTAACTGGACCTAATTATATCGATTGGAAAAGGCAACTAGATATTGTACTCACATATGAGGGGTTGAATTATGTGCTTACTACTCCTAGACCTTCTCCACCTTTGCCTGAGGATCCTCCTGAGGAGCATGAAGTATTTAAGAAATGGAATAAAGCAGATGAGATGACTAGGTGCTACATTCTTGCTTCACTCTCGAATGTACTCCAAAGTCAACATCTTCAATATCTCACTTCTGCAGACATTATGCTTAACCTTAAGGAAATGTTTGGGCAAATTGGTAAGAGCGCACGCCAAAATGCTATGACAAATTTGATGACCATTAAGATGGTCCAAGGTACTTCAGTTCGGGAACATGCTTTAAAAATGATTGGTTTTTTAAATGAACTGGAGATCCTTGGATGCAACTTGGATGGTGAACTTCAGGTTGACATGATTATCGCTTCATTGCCAGACTCATTTAACTCTTTTAGGGTTAATTATTACATGAATAAGCTTGAGTACACACTCGCTGAACTATTGAATGAGTTGGTAACCTTTGAAGGGATAAACAAAAGCAAGGGTGCATCTATCAACTACACTCAGTCTGCTGGACCATCTACTTCTAGGCCCAAGAGGAGGGGCAAGAAAAAGAAGAAGGATGGTGCCAAAACTGTGGTTGTGCCAAACAAAGTAATCCAAAAGGATAAGGGAAAGAAGAAAGTGCGGGTTGAAGGCGAAGGAAACTGCTTCCATTGCGGTCAACCGGGTCACTGGAAACCTAACTGCCCAATACTTCGCACACAAGGCAAAGGAAAAGGTATATTCATTGTTGAGGCATGTAATGTGGTTGAATCTATAGATTCCTGGTGCATAGATTCTAGAGCCACTAATCATGTTTGCAATTCATTGCAGGGATTCCAGGAGTCCAGAAGCCTCAATGAAGGAGAGATATACTTGCATATGGGATCTAATGCCAAGGTGGAAGCTAAAGCAGTGGGAGTGGTTCATATGCAGTTTGATAGTGGGAGGAGTCTTATTTTAGAAGATTGTCTTTATGCGCCAAATGTTAGGCACAATTTAATTTCAGTTTCTTCGTTGGTTTGCAAAAATTATATTTTTACTTTTGGAAAAAATGTTTTAATTAAATTAAATGGTTGTGTTATAACTTCTGGTGCATTGAAAGATAATCTATATGTTTTAACTCCTAGCTCATATCAAATGCAAAATTATGAATTAAATGCAACTTCATCTAGATTGAATGTTAAAAGAAAAGCAGTTTCTCCAAACTCATTGTATCATTGGCATCTACGATTGGGTCACATCAATCAAAATAGGATTCAAAGGTTGGTTAAAGAAGGTTTATTACCTGGTGAGGCAGAGGAGCCTATGCCAACTTGTGAATCCTGTATTGAAGGAAAGATGACTCGAAGGGCTTACTCAGCCAAAGGAGATAGAGCCAAAGAACAATTAGAGTTGGTGCACACAGACGTGTGTGGTCCCATGAACACCCAAGCGAGAGGAGGGTTTGAGTACTTCATCACTTTCATTGATGATTATTCACGTTTTGGATATATTTACCTAATGCGACACAAGTCAGAAGCTTATGGAAAATTCCGTGAGTTTCAGGCGGAAGTGGAGCGTAAATTAGGTAAACTTATCAAAACACTTCGATCTGATCGAGGAGGTGAATACCTCTTGGGGGAGTTCAAGGATCATATGGTCAATGAGGGTATTGTGCGCCAGTTATCCGCACCTGACTGCCCTCAACAGAATGGAGTGGCAGAAAGGAGAAACAGAACTTTACTTAACATGGTTAGATCTATGATGAGTTTTGCTACATTACCTCTATCATTTTGGGGATTAGCCTTAGAATCAGCGATGTATATTTTGAACTGTGTTCCATCCAAGGCTGTTTCAGGAACGCCATATGAGCTGTGGTTTGGACGTAAACCTAGTTTAAATCACATGCATATATGGGGGTGTCCAGCACACGTGCGAAAGAAACAGGCAGACAAGTTGGAAGCAAGATCAGATGCATGCTTATTTGTTGGCTATCCTAAGGGCACTAGAGGTGGATTATTTTATGATCCCAGGGACAATAAGGTTATTGTCAGCCTCATGCTGTTTACCTGGAGGAGGATTATATTATGAATCACAAACCTAGTAGCCAGATAGTGTTAGAGGAGATGGTTGGCACGTCAGAGATACCCCCAGTGGACACACCTAATATAAATACTGAGAATGATGAGACACAAGAAGTCCCTGTTGAATTACCATCATCTAGTACATCGATTCCTGCACCGGTCCTTCGGCGTAGTGGGAGGACTATCATCCAACCCGAAAAACTCACACTTTTGGGTGAGGTCTATGAGGCCGTCCCCGATAAGCATGAGTCGGACCCAGTAAGCTATGCGGAAGACGTTGACCGATATAGATGCGAATCGTTGGAAAGATGCCATGAAATCAGAGTTGGAATCAATGTATTCTAACAAAGTCTGGGATGTTGTAGAACTTCCTAGTGGGGTTCAGCCCATTGGTTGTAAGTGGATCTACAAACGAAAGAGAGGAATGGATGGGAATGTTGAGACATTCAAAGCTAGACTGGTTGCCAAAGGCTTCACTCAACGTGAAGGTATTGATTATGAGGATACATTCTCACCAGTTGCAATGCTTAAATCTATTCGCATTCTTTTGGCCATTAGTGCTTATTATGACTATGAAATATGGCAGATGGATGTTAAGACGGCATTTTTAAATGGCCATCTTGAACAAGACATCTACATGAGGCAACCAGATGGTTTCGTGGTTAAAGGTCGTGAGGACTGTGTATGTAAGTTGAATAGGTCTATTTATGGACTTAAGCAAGCTTCACGCACATGGAACATTTGTTTTGATCAGGCAGTCAAATTATTTGGCTTTGAACAAAACGTGTTTGAACCTTGCGTTTACAAGAAAAAACAGGGTAATGTCATCATGATTCTCGTTTTATATGTTGATGACATTTTGCTCATTGGTAATGATGTAGAAGCATTGTCATCAGTTAAAAGGTGGTTGTTCAATAAATTTGAGATGAAAGATCTTGGAGAAGCAAGCTATATTCTTGGGATCAAGCTTATGCGAGATCGGGTTAAAAAGAAAATAGGCTTGTCTCAAGAGTCTTACATTGACAAAGTTCTGATCAGGTTTGGAATGGAAAACTCTAAGAAAGGGTTTTTGCCATTTAGACATGGGTTGGCTCTTTCTAATGACCAGTCTCCCAAGACTGATAAGGAAATTGAACAAATGAGGCGGATACCATACGCTTCGGCAGTTGGTAGTCTCATGTATGCCATGGTCTGTACCAGACCGGACATCTGCTACTCAGTAGGGATTGTCAGTAGATATCAGTCCAATCCTGGACTTGATCATTGGTCAGCTGTGAAGAATATCTTAAAATACCTTAGAAGAACTAAGAATCTAATGCTCATTTATGGAGGTGATGATCTGGTTCCAGTCGGATATACGGATTCTGATTTTCAATCAGATCCAGATGCCAGGAGATCTACATCTGGATATGTGTTTAAGTTCAATGGAGGGGCAGTTAGTTGGAAGAGTGTCAAGCAGGGTTGTACTGCTGACTCAACCATGGAAGCAGAATACATTGCAGCCTCTGAGGCAGCAAAAGAAGCTGTTTGGTTGAGAAACTTTCTAATTGAACTGGAGGTTGTGGAGCATATAGATCGGCCTATGACGCTTCATTGTGATAATAGTGCAGCTATAGCCCAAACCAAGGACCCAAAATTTCATAAAGGAACAAGACACATTCAGAGGAAACATCATGTGGTCCGTGATATAGTAAAGCGAGGAGATATACTTGTGGCCAAGATTGCATCGGAACATAACCTTGCTGATCCATTCACAAAGGCTTTACCGATCAAGATGTTTGATCGTCATATGGAGAACATGGGAGTTAGATGTGATTTGAATTGGCTATAAGTGCAAGTGGGAGCTGTTAGGATATGTGTGCCCTAGCATAGCAAATTCTAATTTTGGATTGTAGAAGTCATGGTTTCTTGTCTGGATATTATTATTAAAGCATTATACAATTGGTGAATGGAATGTATTATTTTTCGATTCTTTATGGAATTGATGGTGTCCGCTTGATTACAAAATATATTTATATATGTATGTAATGGCAATTAATACTATGATATAAATTAGTAATCATAAATGGTTTAAAGTCGGTAATTATGGATGGACATTTAATTAGTTAAGACTTAAACCGAGTCCACGATAGATTGAGATATATTGCGAGAGCTGTCGTATGCAATTGCTCTCTATCACAGTCATGGCTTTTGACTCTCAAGCATGAGAGAAGTATAGACTCTTTTATTAATTAATAATTACTTTGATTTGCTCGGCGGATACCTCGGGATCCTTAGATCGACACTTTGGGTAGTTATGTAATTAATAATTAGAGGTCTATATTCTCAATATTTGCATCAGTGCTATTTGTATTTATTTTGTTTTGATTATGGTTGATCACAAATTAAATTCGAAGGCCTTCGTATGTTTTAGACAAATGTTTTATATATATATTTATTTAATAAATTATTATTATTTTTTGTCAAATAAATATTTTATTGTGATCGAGCCGGAAATAATCAAAGGTAACAAAATAATTATATTAATTATGTTGTCGGATTGATGGCTTTAATTATCCGATAAATAATTAAGCATAGAGGGGTCAAAGTGCAACATTGACTTAGAGGTTATTTACTATTTAATTGGAGTGCAATTAATTTCTTTTAGTGGAGTAGAAATTAATTTATGAATTAATTGAATTGGGTCCATGGTTTAATGGACCGGACCAATTATTAATTTATAAGAGCCAAGAAAATAGTAAGCCCAAAAGGATTCTCACCAATAGCCCAAGTTGATATTGGAGTCATGTTAGGATTGAGAAAGTTGAATTAGAGATGGAGAATGATTTATTGTTTCCTTATTCTTATTTTATTTTGCCTATATATACATGAGTTCATGTATATTTTAGGTGTGACTTGGAGAACAAGAAAAAGGAATACACTTTCTCTCTCTCTAGATTTTAGGGTTTTGTTTCTCTTCTAAAGGAGGCTACCACCAGCCTAGATTCCAAGGTCATTCATCAAGGCATATTGGTGATTCCTAAAGGGAAGATAATAATCAAAAAGAAGGAGAAAGGATCTTGCTAAAGGGATCTACAATAAGTGAGAACATTCACTTTAGAGGAAAGTTCAAAAGGTTTACTCAGACCTTTGATGTGAGTATTCAATCTGTTTATTGAATTATGCATCATCTTTTATTTATCTTTGCATAAAACTTGTCTCCATGTAATGAATCAAGATCTATGATTGCAAATCCCTCAAAAAGTTTTAAAAATTTGCACGTTTCCCAACAGTTTCAAATCACCAATTGAGTCCGGTAGCTCAGTTATGTAATAACCAGACAAAGAAAGCACCCTTAAACATCGTAACTTTGGTAATAAATCAAACACAACCTTGTTTGCCAAGTAATAATTATCCCAAGCATGTGCCTGAATTGGTAATGCTAACAGAGTTCGCAAATGCTGAACTTCACATAGAGGCCTGAACTTTTGGAGTTGTTCAAATTTTTGACGAATATATGACAAATGCCGAGCTCGGTTAGGAATTTTAAATTGCTCATCACCCTCAAACTTATCCAGCCTAAAGAATATATTTCTGGCAACATGTAGAGCTAGATCATTAAGAAGGTCATGCATCACAAACAGTGACTTACTACCACTTGATTGTTGAAAAAGCGACCTTGATAACAAATCATCAAAATATTGTTTGCCAAAATCTTCCATCTGATTCTTTTCTGTTGACCGCGGCAAAAGACCTGCCCCCATCCACAACAAAACTAGCTCGTCTTTGTCAAACTCGTAGTCCTTTGGAAATATCGCACAGTAAGCAAAGCATTGCTTCAAATGGGATGGGAGATGGTGATAGCTCAACTTAAGAGCAGGAAGAATACCACTTCTTTGTTCAGGTAAATCCCATATTCTGCTATTCAATATATTCTCCCACTCACTCTGGAGTTTCTTAGTGCGCAAGAGGCCAGCAAGTGTTAGGACTGTCAAAGGCAACCCTTTACATTTACTCACTATTTCCTCGCCAATTCCTTTCAGATTTGGATGTGCATCAAAGTTTTGTTTCTCGAGTGCATGATGAGTAAATAAGGATAGACATTCATCTTTGGACAGCAATTTTAGAGGATAACTTGGAGACAGACTCATGGTTGATGCAACGTTTTCAAGCCGAGTTGTGACGATAATTTTGCTCCCAGGTGCCCCAAACATAAAAGGACGTCGTAGGAGCTCCCAGTCTGCATACTTCTCGTTCCAAATATCATCCAAAACAAGAAGAAATCTTTTGCCTGACAAGCTCTCCTTCAGTTTCACCTGAAGCATATCTAAAGCCTGTAACTCATGAGACTTTGAAGTCACCACCTCAAGGATTGTCTTCGTCACTCTAACAGCATCGTAATCATCAGAAACACAGACCCATGCCTTGAGATCAAAATGACCCTTTAGTCGATCATCATCATATACCAGCCGAGCCAGAGTTGTCTTACCGATCCCTCCCATACCCACAATAGGAATGACAGACACTTTGTTATCATCACTAGTTTCAGCCTTCAACAACTCGTCAAGAATAGCATTTTTATCTTCTTCTCTACCATAGACATCAGATTTGACTACCAAAGAAGTGGTTTCCCGTCTTCCTGGCACTGTGTTGGATCTATTCCCTCCAACATCTACATTCAAATTCAGGGTATTCTTGCGAGCTTCAATATCTTTTAATCTGTCGTTGATTTCTTTTACTTTGGACATCATATTGTAATCAAGCTTAACAGCAGCACTAGGAGTAGTGAAACGTGTGAAACAAGTAGAGATGAGTTTTTGCATCTTACTAGGAGGAGTGGTGCTACTGCTAGCTTCAGATTCTGCCTCGATTCGCAAAGATTCAGTAGCGAAATCGTCGAGCAAATCATCCAAATCGTAAACCAAGTCCGTGAGATCGTCCATCCACGATTTGACCCTTTCATCTGTCATCTGCTTCTCCTCTGCGGCGGCGAGAACAGCACGAATCTCAGGCAACATTTTCTGCAACTTCTTCAACTCAAGATTGAGATCGATTTCCTCTGGACGGGAATAGTTTGGCACCACCAGAGACACCAAAATGTCTCGCAGCTTCTCAAAGATAGGCCCCAGAAACACCCCCGCAGCAACCTCCATGGCAACCTCCATCGATCTGGTTCGTAGAGCAATAAGCAAAGGAATAAGAAAGAGATGGGGGTGAGTTTGTGAAAGATTGAGCAATACACAATATGATAGATCAAAATGGGTTTTGCTGCAAGTAATCAAATTCAGACCAACAAGTGCAAGACAAAGAGGGTTGACGAAAAGGGTAGAGTCGTTCGAGATTGTCGGCCAATGTGGAAATAATTCACACCACTTGTATAGTTGATAGAAAATGAGTGATGGACAACAAATATGAATAGTCAAATTTAAATGTCCTGCTATTGTATTATCTCCCCATCCTCAATGGAGTAATAAATAAGTGTGTGTTTCTTGTTAAAATAAATAAATAAATAAAATGTGTGAGTCGTGCTATGTTATCAAGTGGTCCAAAAATTCAATTTTATGCAAAAATACTCATTTATGCCTAAAGAAATGTTAATCTAAATGAATTGTCCATTAAGAAGTAATTTGTGAGATGAATCTTGTAATGTTATTATTTTATATCAAAACTAAACTTTCGCAAAGTCATAACTTTAAAATTAAAATGAAAAAAAATAATAACAATAAATCAAACAAACAAACAAAATTGAATATTAAGTCAATTGTTGCAATTTGCAAGGGAGAGAAAAAAGAGACTTTGTTTGATTCATTTACTATCATCTAATTATGTAACACGGTTGCATCAAACATTGGAGAGTTAATAGCAAAATATTAGTTGTTAATTTGTCTGTTCCTCTCCACTCCCCATCCCTTATTAATTTAATTTTTTTGTATTTTCTATTTCACTTGTAATTTACGAACAATTGGAATATTGATACACCTAAGTTCCAACCAAGATCATATATTACCCGTCTAAGAAAGAATGTCACTTTTTGGGAATCGTAATGTAAGTCAGGGTTCCCAAAAAGTGACATTCTTTTAGGATAAAAGTAGTAATAGATAAGCATAAAAATTACTATTACACATTTATATTTTTTTTTTTTTTTTTTTTTGGGTTAATTTACACATTTATACGTTAATAACAAGTAATATATATTTGTGAAATTTAATGCATAAAAAATAAAATTTTAATTTCGTCTAATAGTTAAAAAAACAAAACAAACACACATCTAATTAAACTCTGGTGTATGTAAAAACCATTAATTTGGGCCTCCACTACAACGTCGAGGAGTCCACTTTAAAACTTTGTCCTTTTAACATATTTTGAGTTGTCAAGATAAAATTGAAGCTTTCTATATTCTTTATGGTTAAAAACATAGAATTATTACTTTCACCGTCTGGTTCGAATGAGTTCATTGATTGGTTGTGTCCATGCAGATACAGTGTACATATTGTGTCAATGTGCATATTATTTTTGGAAATAAGAGAGGACCAACAAATAAATAACCTTAAAATATAAACAGTTTATTTTAAGTAGAATAATAAAATAACTATTTGAAGTAAGAAAGTCAAATAATGCGGACTAATATCATAAGACATCAGCCTCTCTATTCACATCAAATTAGTTGTATGTCCAATGCATTTGACGAAGATTTATTACTATGGGATCTATTGATTCCAACTTCTTAAAACGTTTGTAGCTCTATTTTTACTATGCAAAAAATAAATACAGAGAGAGAACACGGCAAGGAACCCCTCAGCTCGAATATATAATTTTAACTTTGTGTAATTTTAGACATTTCCAAGGCACCAAAGACTGAAAACTAGGCGTGCTCACTACTGCTGCCTTGTAGAGATCAAATTTTGACCTAACATTTACATTAAAGCTATGTTTGGAGTACCTAGTCGGAGGCTTGGATTTAAAATTGAAAAAACTTGAGTTAACATTTGAACTAAATTTATTCCAATTCTGGTACTCCCAAACACGACATAATAACATTCACACGAATACAATATCAAGTTTGGTAAACGATAAAATACTGAGAACATTTTTTACCTGAAAGTTGAATAACATTTATACAAATACAATATAAGGTCAAATTTTTGTACTCCACACATCCATCTTTATACATCACATTGATTTGAACTGGATACGTGAATTTTGTCATTCTTGGTGGAGACAGTTTTGTTAAAATAGGTTTGATATATCGTACTCAAGCTGTGCTTCATAGATGAACTTAAATGCTATTATAACATATTTATTTTCTCAAAGTAAGAAAGCTGCACTATTACCTCACATTCGACTCCAACTATGACTAACAACTCAAAATACAACCCAGAGGCTAAAACATTTCTACTCTTATGAGTAGGCTCCATTAAAGAATGTTAAGAAATCTCTAGGATGACGACTATAGTTCATATGGTGATAGATATAGACTTTCACAATCATCTTTAGGTACTAAAACTTGTTGATCTCTGGCACCACCCTTGATACAAGAACACCGCACAAAATTGCAAGCTCCATCCATGTAGTTATGTCTTCAAGGGAGCCTTCTTTTCTCTATCAGATATTCGAGCAGGGGCATTTGAATGTGATTTGAACCGGCCTCTTCCTCCTCCGTCGTCCTTCTCCTGGAAAAGCCAAGTTAGAATGTCACTTTGGGTGTCAACCTGTATACTCAGTTCGGTTGCAAGAAGGCATTATAAAAATAATAATGATAATAAGAAGAATTCCGGGGGCAAATATGGCAATGACTAATAAGATTCTAAGTTCTATTCCCAGATAAACCATTTATTAAAATAAAAAAATAAAAAATAAAAAACAGGGAGCAAATGATTTTCGAAACCCTCTATGTTTAGCATACATCTAACTGAATTCATTTTCAATAGTATAACTGTATAAATGAACGAGTAAAACTATACTAATGGAACATTTGCAGAAATTGATACTTTACTCGTTGTCATGTTGTCAGACAGTTACTAGCAAGTCTCGTGGATGAGATCACTAGGCTACAATAAGAAATCAGAAGTAACCAACTAACCATAATAGTAAAAAGGTGAAAACACTTGAACTCAATTTCATGATTTTCTCTATACAAAAGCATCATTAGAACAATCAAGCAAAATGTCACAGAAAATATTAAAGCCTAAACAAATAGAGAAAGGGAACAGAGAAATAGAAAGATAAAAGCACAATTTAGTTGTCTAATTGTCTGAGCAATTTAATTGAAAAGATTACTTTTTGGTTCAGAAAAAGAACAATACCGAGATAGAAAGAACAATGGGGGGAAGCATAAAAAATAAAAATAAAAAATAAAAAATAAAAATTCTCTTTAATTTGATTTCAGAATTGACAAAGAATAGGCAGGAAGAAAGAACAACGAGAAAAGAAATAAAAAAAAAATTTTAAAAAAAAGAGTCTCTTTTTTTTTTTTAATTTTTCAAGACTGACAAAGAAAAGAAAGAAGAAAAGAAAAGTTAAGAAGAATAAAGCAAAACTACATGAAAATTTTGAAGTTTTGATAACTCAAAAGTGGATAGTATCTACCATTGACGTTGGGTCTCTGTTTTTTGTTTCTTATTTTTACATTTTAATGCAATTAGGATAAAGAGTTGGGCATTATATTTAAAATGATTAAATTTATTTGCCCAAATGAGTTGTAGGCCAAAATAAATCCGAAGAATAACAAAAAACACGATTTAATAAGATCGGTAGGATCGTGTGATTCTACGATCCGACTTCCGATTCAACTGATCCTACTGCGATACTACTTCCCAGCGATTTTTCATGTGATCGATCGTTTTGGTAATTTGGAATCGTAGATTCAAAATTTACGATTCCTGATCGGGATTTTAAGCACCATGAACCAGAGTGCATCCACGGATTTACCATATTACATACAAGACAATAGAATTAATTCTCAAAATAAAATGGTCTGCTCACCTTCTTCTTAACAATCTGAACCACATCCTCATCCTGAAGCACATGGCTGAGGCCACAATGTTGCGGGTAGTGTCTTGCACTTATGCCCCACACTAGCACATATTTCACATCCTTCACCAGGCTTCTGTGTATGTGGTTACAGAAGTCTTCAACTGTGCAGCCACCTCCATCCTAAAATCACATAACAAAAATAAAAAAACACATATTAAAGAATCGGAAGAGAAAGATAACTATTTCCATCAAAATAAATTCGTGAAATGACATGAGGATATGTTACATACAGCAGAAAGAACGACAGGATCAGTGAAATCAGGTTGCTGGCCCTGTGGTTTTGTATAAACTCTAACAAGCCCCATCTCCTCCCACATCCTTGCAAGCACTCTGTCTAAATTCAGCTGTTTAAGCAGAGCATAACAAGAGAAGTTCAATTACCTAGACAATAATATAAATCCGAATATACTGATCTGCCTAAAACCACATTATCTACATATATTTTCTGGCTTGTAATGCACATCAGATACGCAGAATCATGCTTCATATGGAAGAAAAACTATAGACAAGTTAACAAATGCACTGTCATACCCTGTCTGAATGTAATAGGTCTGCACATGTCATATAGGTTCAGTTTTTGCACAAGTCCATCGCTAAAACCAACAATTAACTAATTTGACTCTGGTGCATACTAAGTGGAAATTTGAAGTGTAAAACCTGCCTTCAAATTGCAGCTAATGACAACAGAATTTGGTTGTTGTGCTAATTTGTCCACATCATCAATACCAAAACATCAATCTTGTTGTAGACATATTTACACTTCATGTATTTACAATTCCCCTCAATAACATCTATAAGGTCATCCACTGTAGCATCTTCACGAAATAACACCCACACACCAACGATAACAAAAAGAGGGGGAAAACATCAGCAAAAGAGCACCTTTTCTTTCAGGTAACTATCAAATAACTTGGAAAACCTTGATACTTAACCAAGTTGAATATATTCCCAGTAAAGTTTTTCGACAAAGTAATTCATTATCTGACTGTGCAAAATAGTTCAATTATTATTCCTCCAGCTATGATGTCAGTTATTAGTTCTCTAGCAAATTACATTAATAAAATTGCTGAGACTGAATACCTCTGCATTGTGAATCTTGTATTCATGTAGAATTTGATAGCAAAGCTTCTCATCAACATGAGTCAACGGTGACGTGCTGTTGAAAGAAATACCCCCCGTTTTCTTCTTCTTGAAATATATCTGCCAATAAAACACGAGAAAATGAATAAGTGAGACAATTCGAGGGTCTGAAATTCCTTACAAAGAAATGGAAGGAAGACAAAAAATTCTGTTGATGGATAAAACTTATTAAGCCACAGACAACAAATTAAGTTTTACCTGGAGGAGCTCGGAAAGCAATGCATAGGGTATAGTTTACAAAAAAT